TTTCAGCCGACAAACTGGGGACTTCGGGAAAATGCAAAAATTCGCCGGTCTACAGCCTGGCTACCACCTTGTGATGCTTACTTAGTTCTGCGCCAAGACGCAGTTGAAACTTTTCTCAAGTCAACATCACTTGTCTGTGTTCTAGCGCCTAAAATACCGGCACTCTGCATCGCCTACGTTTCCGATGCATCAATTTTTACGTTCAGCTTTCACTCATCTCACAACCGTTAGTGAAGCTAGTTCATCATCGAAGCTTAAGTGGAATTTCAGCTACTTATCCTCGATGTTCAGCACGCCATCCTATTGAAGAGGTAGTAAGGCAAAACACAAATAAATCTATCGTATAGAATCTCTTTTTTTGTTGACTACTAACTAGAAGATTGGAAATCAAATAATTTAATTTCGTTACCTGGTAATTTGGTCCCGTTGGCGTCAACAGAGTGAATAAAAAATCGGGATCAAAAAGCTTCAACAAATCATCTAGAAGCCTGGAGCCTTTACCTAAAAAAAGCCAGCACAGTTTTTCGTTCTCACGTGTATTTCTCGATAATATCATTTGTGCCAAACTTCTGCTTTGCCAGCGAAGTATAAGGGCTTGCTACGGCAAATGCGGCGCTCCATTTCCAATTTCATAAAACTGGTAACAAAGTGAAATTGCCCGTACCGCTCTATACATTAGGATTGCATTCGCATGTTTGAAAAAGCACTGCACTGTACCTTCAACCCATCCGCATGTGTTGATTAATAAAGGAGAAGATGGATCACTGACACTCTTGAAACGCTCCAGCAACCTGCGAAGAAGCATCAAATACGATGTCATGTCATCTTTAAAGACAATTCTACCATAGAAGTACGTGTCCGCTAGAATGGTCCTTTGCTGGAACATCGGCACACCTGAAAGCCTTGCTGAATTAGACAACCCAAATTCTGAGCGAGCTTTCCATTAATCTAGATCCAGAATTTGCATGAACAGCAGGACCGCATGGACTAAAAAATGAGACTTCAAAGTAAGCTGAGAGAAGCTTGGAGGACATTTCGCCTTATGCCTCTTGCAATTGATTTCAGCGCAGAAGAAACGGCTAGTTTTGTCTCGCAGTCTACATTCGCTTTCTTCACTGTTCGTACGCAGTCTCCATCGATCTCCTCATCTACATAACGTGGTAGCAAAGTACGCAGCAGGAAGCTATCGAATGCTTTTTATGTTTTTTTTTTCTTTTTCATCTATGCAATGCAAAAACACGCACTGTCGAGGGACTCCCTGTGTGCATGTGTCTGTGTATTTGTCTGTCCCGACTTTTCGTCTCCAGATTCGCAAAATCTACAAGGCTGAAACTCTGGGAACTTAATAAATGCACGTGCTGACCTCGATCCTCGAAATGGGAGCTCTTACCCAAGTGATTTTCACGTCGGGCCTATCAAAGTTTTTTGGCAGGTAAGCTGCAAACTCGGGAACCAGAAAAACTAAAAAAATGAAATTTTTATGGAACGTTTCCTGTCCAAATAAGTTTTAATGAGGCCCAATCCAGTCTTTGAATGTGCGTGGTTCCCACGTACGGACCCGTGAAAGTTTTTTGCAGGCAAGTTGCTAACTCGGGAATCTGAAACGCTAGAAAGTTAAATTTTAAGAGGGTGTTTTCTGACAGTCCAGCTAGTCCTAATTTTTTTAGCTAGAAGCATTTGCCGAAAAAACAGAGCCGTTCTCGACAAAAACCTGCGAAGAACTATGTAAAAAACGCATCTTTGCAGCGGCATTCGATGAGCTGGCCATTTATTGATAATTGACAAAGAAGATGCGAAGCAAATGGTCACGCTCTTCCTTTACAAAAAGACACATCATCGAGTTTAAAAATTAACCTAAAAGTGGTGAATTCACTTTCAGCAAAGAAACACATCCTGGTGGATTCATTTCAGCTTGTCCAATGTCACAATCGAGAATATAAACCGACGGTCGAAAGCTAAATTTAATAAAATTTGCCAAAAAATATATAAAAAGTCACGCAATTATGTGAAAAATATGGGAAAAAATGAACGGTGTTCAATATGCCGAATGTGTTCGAAGAAAATGAGAACAAACTTTTTAAGAAGGGAATTTGCGATTACTCGAGTAAGCATTGATTTGCCCGTACCTTTGTTTCCCACGATCATTGTTATGCTTCTTTTTCCTTCGTCTGTAAATTCTTTGAAGCGCTACAATCTTTAAAAGTATGAAACTTCACTAAGCAATTTATACTGAGACTTTCGAAATTTATGTTAAATACCGGTGCAACAAAACTCTTACGGAAAACACGAATGAACAGACGAGAAGCCCTGGGTTTAAAACATCTATAAAATGTTTATTAAAATAAAAGAAAAAACCAACTCGATTTCGCTTCAATTGTTTTCAAAAGTTTCATAATATTTTCAGCAGTTTCACCCTCATATAGCATCGGGTACCTGAACTGTAATACGCTGCAGTGTGGTCCAACTGCGCAACATTCTTCTGAATCTCGCGGCACAAAAAAGAGCTGAAAAAAAAATCAGTACAAAAAATTCGCTGTGTATATAAGCCAGTACTTTAACAATACGGCTGTGTACCAGGAGGAGGCCTTTTCCATTTTCTTTGACACTACCTCCAGTTATACGGGCGGGCTCAGATCTGGTCTGCTATTTATTCAGCTAGCAAATTTTGGACTGTTTTGTCCGTCGATGCGTCGCACTGTGACCAGTCTGCTGCCGAGCATCAAAGATATTAAAATAAGGAAATTCGTTTCGCACTATGCACACACAACTAACCTGCCCATAGAACTGCCGCATAAAAGCACACATTTTCGAGACGTCCAGACGTAAAACAACGATGCTGTCGCCATCCTCGAAACCCTCCAGTATCGAATCAACATCGGGCGTAAGCTAAATAAAAGTTTAATTTTAATACAGATTCTTCGACATTTAAAGGCACATGAAAAACAGTCCTTAAAGCAGCTGCCAGA